ACACACACACACACACACACACACACACATCATTAAGAGCTGAATTGTGTGAAGGACGTGTGTGTGTTGTCTCATGTTGCTGAATCAAAGCTTTTCTAATCTGTGTGTCCAGTGTCCCGGTGGAGCCTTCACACCTGACATCCAAACAACTAAAGAGTTCCCTGATGATGTGGTGAACTTTGTCCGCAACCACCCGGTCATGTTTAACCACATTTACCCGGTGGGACGGAGACCCCTGGTGGTTCGAAGCAACGCCGACTATAAATACACCTCTGTGGCCGTGGATCAGGTCGCGGCTGCAGATGGAAACTACCAGGTGCTTTTCTTGGGCACAGGTACGAGTCTGCACATGTCAGAGTTTATTAGAGTTTATCTCTCCTTATCTGCCACGTTTCTGATTTATTACTAAGAACTGAGACAGCTGTGTGTTCAACAGAAAGCCTGAAGAAATGATGGCAAAATCCTGTATCTATACATTTATATAAATGATTTTTTTTATTTTGGGCACACAAGTAAAAATGCTAGATTTTTTTAATTTTCATCAAAAGGTGTTAGATATTATCAAATATATAATATAAATACAGGACTCCATTTTTTATTTTGAAGTTTCAGAGAAGAAAACCGTTTTCTGCAACTTCCCATCGATTTAATACAATTTCAGATTTGTTATTATAAAGCTCATGTGCCGAACGAGGCCTGCCGTTGCGCTGCATTTTCAGTTATACTTGGAAGTGGGAATTTCCTACTTACAAGTTGAAAATTTGAACTGGAATGCCCCTTCAGTGGGCATTTCTTGTTGGAAAGTGGGAGAGTTTAGAATTCAAGACAGCACTACTCCCCACAACTCAGCAATGAGTAAAAACATCCCATATATATATATATTTATTTCACATTTAGTCAGTCGTATATGTAGTACTTTTCAGTGTTTAAAAGAGGACGTGTGAAAATGCTGTTTATGTGCAGGAAATACTACGTAGAGCTCAGTTATTGTTTGTTAGCAGTGCTCAAATATAGCATTGAGACAAAGAACGGGACTTTCTGTTAAGTTAATTACAACTGGCAGCTGATGTGGGCTGTGAGCAGAAAGCCTGATCCAGTTTTTTTTATTTTKCTGACTCATCTTTGGTTTAAGAAGTAAATGATTTCTTACAGTCCTCTTCCTTCAGCTGTGTCAGATAATCAGATAAAGGTCGCAGGGACCGGGTCCAGAGATAACAGGCAGGTCTGCTCGGTGCGTCCGCACCATTTCTGTGTCCGTTCTAGGAACACGAGACGTAAATAAAATCATCCAAGGAGAACTCTGATAGGGTCCAAACTTTTGGAGCAGGTGGACTGTGAGTGTCAGCTACTCCGAAGAGATAAAGATGATAAAGTGCACATCTGTAGGTTCCAAACTGGTTTGTGGGATGTGTGGAAATCACAAGCAGCCTAGAGGCGGTATCTCACATGGCTGCAACTATTAGGTGTTTTGGGATTTAGAAAGTCAACTCTAGGATGTCTTGTAACTTTTGTGGGTTTGTGCTTGACAAATCATATTTACCCACATCCCAGGTGGAATATGGTTATTTCATGGGAAAGTGATGTAATTTATGCTCAATGCTGGTTTTAAAGCAGCATTAAAGGCCCAGTGTGTAGGATTTTGTGAATTCTTTTAGCCGAAATTGAGATAATCACTAATGACAATAATAAAAAACATGTCGAATCATTGCAGACAAAGACCTTGTTTTATTATTTTTACCTTATAAAAAGCTGTTTATATCTCCATGGTCGCGGGTCGCCCTACAGGCAGCCGCCATCTTGCACCGCCATCTTGTCTACGAAGGCTCATGAAGGACAAACTGCGGTGGCGGCGTCAAAAACTGTTTTAGTTGTAATACTATAAATGTAATATTTGTTGTCTGTCATTGTAGCTGGGATAATTTTACTTTAAAGCTCATAATCTTACCACTTGAAACATCACTAGCCCTGAAGCTGCTGGTAGACATCGCGGTTGGAATTATCAAAGGTTTTTGACACCTGAGAGACACCGTAGCAACTCCTTTGCGTTTGGAAGCGGGGATGGGGGTAGGGGGAGGACCAGCAAGGATGATTCAACCACTCAACCACTAGATGTCGCTGAAAACAACAAATCCTACACACTGTGCCTTTAAGACATTAATACATTTTTAAAGCTCTGGCGGGCCACATTAAATGTTGCAGTGGACCTCATTTGGCCTGTGGGTCTTCAGTTTGAAATGTGATGTACACCTTACCTGGTGACATGTCTCATTCAAATTCAAWTGACTCCATGAATCCCTTCAAAGAGCTGTCTCATCACTACAAGCTGAGGTGAACAACAAAAGAATGTGCACAGTCACCAAAAACAGTGAATTTTAAAAAATGGTTTCTGAACAGTCGCATTGAGATCCGGCCATCAGGTGCAGGTTCAGGGGTCCACTAAGTAAATAAATGATTTAAATGACACAAAAAATATCTACGCCAAAAAAAAGGAACAATAACTTCAACGTAACAGGGTGATAAAACAATTAGAAAAAACAGCTAAAACAGCTACACAAAAAAAAAACCCTGAAAGAGACGCCAAACAACAACAACAAACGCTAAATGAATGCAAACAGAAACCAGATCAAATAGTTTCAGGAACGACAGGATGTGTGATGAGGCAGAGAGACGGTCTCACCTCTCTGTGTGTGTCTGCTCTGAACAGAGTCATGTGTATCTGTATGCAGCACACACACACACATGTTTGTGCTTCTCCACGTCGTGCGCATTTGTATTCAGCAAACAGCTCTGGGAGCCTCTTGCGCAGCTGCTTGTGTTTATTGAGCAGACTCCTCTGTCTGTTCCTATTTTTTTTTCTTCTCCGGATTCTTGAAGAGAAGCCAGGGCCCATCGGAGCGTAGCTGCTCCTGAAACGGTGCTTTGTCTCCAGGAAGTGGGAGACGCTCTTATCGGGCGTTTGCAGGAGCTGCGACACCTTGTGCCCCAGCTCTCTTGGACAAAAAAAATAAAAATCAAAAATGATAATGGTGGAGGCTGTATTGTGGTGTTTTAACTCCTGAGTTTGCCTTTAAGAAGCCCAGTTGCTCCAACTTTCAAACAGTTACATACTTTTCTAAGCGTTCACGTTTGAGTTATACGAATCCTCTCTTTTTTGCCCTCAGATAAAGGAACGATACAGAAAGTGATTGTGCTGCCGAGCAACCAATCCCTGCAGGAAGATCTGATCCTGGAGGAGCTGGAAGTCTTTAAGGTTTTTATTTTTCTACTTTTAATCAAAGGCAGTAAGATTTAGGGCGTGTGCATCATCACAAAGGCAGGACGGACCAAATCGGGGCGACGCCGSCGAGTTCGATGTAGTGCATGGAGTGATGGGAAACATGCTCGCATTCTGCCGCCGTCTGCTTGTTGCCCCGAATAAACCTTTTGCACGTTTCGTCTTAACTGGAAAAATCTGATCAAACTGTCGTCACGTTCTCGGGATTGCTTTGATGTTTTAACTCCACCTGGGCTGCAGAAGTCCTTTAAAAAAATATTTTATTAAAGCATTTCTTCTGGGAAGTCAGTTGAAACTGAAGCTTATTTTTTTCTCTCCTGTTTTTATTAATCCAATAAAATGAAAGGCCTCTCCATGAAAGAGTGCATATCGCCCGTCGATTGCCATATTTTCAAAAATCATCGTGAGAAAGATCTGTCAAACTCTTCATTAACTAATAGAGTTGATGGTTAATAAGTCTCAGCTACTACCACACCAAATTTTAGCCTAATATCTTTTGAATTGTTCAAATTATAGCCTTTTTTGTGTTTCCTAAGCTCAGTCGGCTGTGGTGATTATCTTAAAGTTGTTTTACTACAAAAGTTAATCAGCTGAAGAGACATATTCAGTCGTTATATCTTGAAAGTTTCATTAAAATCCATCCAGTCTTTCATGAGATATTTTGCTAACAGACAGGCATGGCTGATTGTAATAATTAATGGCTAAGTTTTAAAGGCAAATTGTACACAAGCAGTTATTGCTTAGAGTATATGTTGGGAATGATCTTCAGCTAYGGTCACTCCGAATTTTAGCTTAATATCAATTAAATTAGCTAAATCATAGCTACTTTTGTGTTTCCTAAGATCAGTTGGCTGTGGCAGCCATTTTAAAGTATATTGACTACAAAAGTTAATCAGCTGCAGAGGTCCTCTAAAAATCATTTCTTGAAAGTTTCATTAAAATCCTTCCAGAGTTTCAGGAGATATTTTGCTAACAGACACAATTGATTTTAGTAGTTAATGGCAATGTTTTCAAGGTGTATTTTGCACAAATAGTGCTCAGACTATATGTTTCCCAAGACATGACTCTCAGCCACTACCACACCAAGTTTTAGTTTAATATCTTTAAAAATTGGCTGAGTTTGACCAATTTTTGTGTTTGAAGATGTTGATTAGCTAACACTTAAGACAAATGAACACACTAACGTATTTAAAGACTTGTGTGCGTAGGAGCCAGTTTGTATGTGCAATTATCAGATTTGTGAGGTTGAAGATAAAAAAAAATTGTGTGAAATTTTAACGTTTGTGTAATTTATATTTGTGTGTGTGTAATAAAGTTTGTCTGCGTGTAATAAAGTTTGTGTGTGTGTAATAAAGTTTGTGTGAGTGTAATAAAGTTTGTGTGAGTGTAATAAAGTTTGTGTGAGTGTAATAAAGTTTGTCTGAGTGTAATAAAGTTTGTCTGTGCGT